TAGCTAGGTGATCGTCTCGTCTTCGGAAGACTGGTTCCATGTTTTCTCGCAGTGTTGTCTGACTCTTTGTGGTGCTCATTGTCAAGGTGGTGCAGATGCTTCACTGATAGTATAGGACTTGCCTCACGCCAGCGCGTGGATCTGTGGAGCTACAGGTGTTTGCAATATTTCCCCCGTTAGACCGTCACCTCTCAGCCCATCGCGCCTGTTGAGAGTGAAGGCGAATCAAACCTGTCGGCTGCCCTTCCTGCCCTGATTACGGGGATCTGCGTAAGAAGGCTTTGGACTCAAGCAATTCCCTGCACCAAGCCGGCAATCCTGGGCTCTGATGTCTTAGGAAAACCTAAGTCTGAAAGGGATGGTCGAAGCATAATTACTCTCTGCATTCCTTACACATGCTCAGGACATGTGCTGTCCTGCTGTAGAACCTCACGGCAGGCAACATGAGCAAACAGTGCAATGAAGGTATTTATCGCTTTTGTTCCAGAGCTCTAGCATGTTGTACTTTGCAAAGAACAGAACCACGGAAGAGTTATCCTGGCGGGCTGGTCTCTCCCTCGAAAGGAGTGCACCAAAACTCCAACCCAATAACTTGGCAGTTCGGGCCTCCTGCACCTTGAAGTCTAAGAGCCGAAACGCTTGAAACTCAAAAGCAAGCCCCTTTGAAGCTTTCTGACCCCTGCATTCCAAGAACCTGAGGCCCTAATGACCTGCAACCGTGGTGGGCAATCTCGGCAGACAAAGAGCGCACGAGATGGCCGCGACAGTGTAGAGGTTGCTAGACCTTGGCGGCCCGATTTGGGGTTAAAGGCTCGCGAGTTCATGCCAGGCAGCTGGCCGGCATTCGATGCTGTTGAGAGCTTTAAAGTCTCGTTGAGCGTCGCCAAGTATCTAGGTGCCCTTTGACGTGGAGCAAATCTGGAAATGTAATGAAATGTAGACATGCAGGGACCCTCCATGTTGCTTGGAGATACGATGTAGCACTCGGGTCTGCAAAGTGACACAAGGTTTAGACTGGTTCTGGAAGACGAAAGCCAATCTCAGAGAGAGCACATGATGATGAAGCCGAAGCCGACGCTGCTCGTAAGTCCGACAGCTGAGACCGTGATGGGTGCACCTGGGCGCATCTATGCTTAGCATGGGGTCCTCACAGGGCCGCTGGTGCGGATCTCAGTCTGGTCATAGAACATGAGAAACAGATTTGATTCTCAGATGGACCAAAAAACTCTCCGACTACTGGCTTCCACTCTCTAACCGATGGTCGCCGAGCTGCAGCTGGCCAACACGCAGAAAGCCGCCAGGAAGTACAACCTGGGAAGCGGGGTCCGGTCTGCTGCGATCTAACGTTCCACTAGCTCAATTTGGGTTTCCGAAAGATTGTTAGGAAGCTGGTCGCTTGGTTGTGGTCAGGTAATTACCAGCCGGGAGTTCACAGAAAAGAGAGGGTAGATAGATAGGTCAGATCACGACGGGTAGATATGATCAGACTCCAGACCGACGGATAGGCTAATTTGCATTGCAGACTACTCTCTCTCTCTCTCACACACACACACACACACCTAAGCCACACTAGTCCCGAAAGACTCCGAGCCCGGAGCACATCAGAGCGCCCTCAGAGTTCAAAGTCCGTTGTGGGGGCAGCATCTTATATATAATTATAATAGCCCCCGTATAAGTTATGAAACCTGGACTTGAAAAAATGTTTGGACGTCTTCATACACTATAACCGCCCATAAAACAACTTCAACCAGAACAACACGTGTCCAAAACGAGCTTCCCGTAGTAGCGGCTGAAAGTTAAACCTCCAGAGGCTCCACAAGCTTGTGCGGAACATGTGATTCATCAACTACTGCCTAAACTGGACTATCGAGTTGTGGTTGCATGTGTGTGTGTGTGAATAGCCAGCTGGCACGCACGGCCGAAGTCTTTGAAAGATGTTGGATGCAGCGGTCGTCCGCTCCCGGGCATTGCGGCTGTGGATGCCACTGGCTGCAAACCTTGTGCCGCGGATTCTTTAATTTGGGGTGCTCGGGATTCGATACTTTTGATGGCAGGCTCGGGGCCTCGTTTTCCCAGTCCTGAACCAAAAAACGCCCTAAGCAAGCGCTAAAGAAAGGCCTTAGCTAGCACCCTCGCGTGACCCCACAAACTCGACGCCTACTCATGGAGCAATGCACGAGTACCACATAATTGTCACATAATAAACTGATGCTTCATTGCTGGGATGCAAGCTTAGTGGGCAGGGGGATCGCAGAATCCGGGAGTGTGATTTTGGAAAACTGGGGATGCCGTCTTTCATTCTAAGCCTTTCAGCTTTTCACGAATGCGAAATTGCGAATCAATCCTCCTTCGCGGCTGATTGGTACCTACCTCGACATGTGCGAGGATTCCGAAGTCCTGGTGTCAACGCGAAAGCTGTAAGTCTCGAGCATGCTGTTGTGAGTTGGGACCCCACTCCTGGCCACTCCTGGAGTTGCTTGGTTGGGATGCCATGCAAACGATTCACCATTTAAATCCACTGCTGGGCCTGGCTGACATCGCAGGGGGTGGTTAAGCAATTACTAGGACAACTCCTGCTAGAACAACAACAACAACAACCACAGTCACTGTTACCCCAACAACAACAACTACAACTACAACCACAACAACAACTACCACTGCTACTATTACTATACTCCTAATACTGCTTGCGAACAGACCTCGATGCCTAGTGCAATGTTATCATATGATGTACGGAGTGCTTTTCTTCCGTACATTGGAGCTGTGAGACATGCAGGGAAGCCACGTGCTACCACATGATCTACCCAAACTCCGGCGAACGTTTGGCTCAAGACCCCAAGCTCAAAGAGCTCAGGGCAAAGATCAGCATACGTACACTTGTGTTCTAGTTGCCAGCCATTGTGTGTTGCCCCTTTGCACAGACACTTCGTCTATCAGTGCGAGAAGAGCAACAGGAGTGGACCGAGGTTGCCTGCATAGGGAACGAATGTTACTATCCAATCGTGGGCTACAAGAATCAACATATAGCTCGGTGAGGTGAGCGATTATACGGAACATCAAGACCAAACGCTCATGCAGGTTATCAGCCGTAGGCTCCGCCTACACAAGGACTTTGACATCGTGGCAACACACCAACAATGACATCTGGATCAAGTGCAGATACGACAATGACCTTTGGTGGTGAAGTGGCAATGCCAGCAGTTGCTGACTCAACTGTTGATGAAGCAACCACTATCTCTGTGGATTCGGCAACCACAGAAGAAGCAAAGAAGACAAAACAATCGGAGTCATCAACAAGCATCAATCAGAGGACAAGAGCGAGATCGTTAACCGTTACCAAGAACGCTATCGCAACCAAGATCTACATCAACTGGACCACGGCCTAAGCCAAGTGAGAGACGTCCGTCGAAGACGGTGATGCAATTTCTACAGCTGGCTACAAAGACAAAAGGTCGTGAACCGAAAAGCCCAGAACAGTCGAGATCGAAATCTTCATCCAGGAGTTCGTCGCGAAAAGCTGTCAGGAAACCGTCCGAACCTTCGTCACCTTTGGTGAGAAGACAGGTGGTTGATTCAAATCCTGTGCCTCTGGCTAGGAACTTGGGTCTAACCTCCATCGGCGACCATGACAACGCGGACACGATGTTGGAAAGGGCAATCTTGTCCCAACAACATGGTGAAGATCGCGGCAGACTTCAGGTGTTGAACCTCGTCGGCCAAACACACCATGCATCACAAGCGACCGGGGAACATCGTGCTCACCAACTACTTTATGCTGAAGAAGAGATGAGAAAAACTCACGAACGTGAAGTACGACAACATGAAGAAAATTTGGCCGCGATGAACCTGCAGGTGAGTCAAACGGTGCAATGGATGGAACTTCACGAACAAGAAGACCGAGGATCAACCATGAGGGTTGAAGAACTCGAACGACAACGAGATTTACTGTCAAACGCAGTTGGACACGTGAGTCGACGACACCAAGAGACTACCGAAGAGTACGTTCATGCAGTGAGAGGCATCGAGGAAGCGAGTCATGCCCAACATCATCGTGATGAGTTGACAGCAGAACTGTTGCATTAGGAGTTGGGTCAACTACGCAACGAAGCTACACAGGGTTTCGCAAATCTGGAACAACAGGCTCAAGGCGATGAACACAACATGGCCATGCAGTACCAGAAGCTTACGAACACTCTACACGAGAAAGCTCGTGAAGCCTTGGCGTTCAGGATGGAATCTTCAAGCAGGAAATCTGAACTGGTAGCGGTGCGAGAAACGATTGAGATGATCAAGGGAGAGGAACGTATGGCGAGAGAAGAGGCGAACAGTACCATTCTTGCGGCAGAATCTGGGCTTTTGCTCTGCAGAACAGGCTGAACAAGGAAGAGATCGCCAAGCATGAAGCCAGCTTGAAGATGGAACAGGCTGAGTTTCATGCACAACAGGCTCTGGAACGTGAAAGTCCTGTCACCGCTTTACATAGTGAACTGGGCGAACTACGTCTTCGGCTTCAACAACAAGAAGAACTTCAATCGCGAAGTCAACAAGCCTGGAAGCTTGAACTTGAAGCTGAACGCCTGAGAAATCAACAACATTCCCAAAGATCGTCGAATGCACCGTGGCCATCGAAGACTTCTGAGACGGGATGGGAGTACGTGAGTAGCCAAGTCAGTAGTCAGAACGAATTGTCATTTCCAGTAGCGACTGATGTGCGATCCCCTGACATTGGTTCTCCTTCACAGCGCAGTCCTGTTAACAGAGGTAAAACCATCACTGCAGCTTGCTCCGCAATATCGCCAATCGTGCAAGATGCACACATGGATCAGCCAAGTCCACTGTACATACCAGCGTCAAGCACAGCCTTGACTGGAACAGAAGTCCGAAACAACAAACTTCGCGAACTTCTCAGGATGCGTGGCACGCATGGACTATCGTCATCTTCATCCAGTGTTCCGCAACAATTCAATGCATTCACTAAACAATCCAACAAGAACATATTCATGGAGGAAGATGATGACGGCAACACGCAAAAGCTGATCGCGTATTTGGTGGAACAAGATGTTAGGAGATTAGATGAAACCGGAAAGCGAGACAAATCTGTCTCCGGGGCGGTGCCTTTGGCTCGACCCGAGCAGGCGGCGCCTCCGGCGAATTCTGCTCCTTCTTCGTCTTCGGGCATCAACGGTCACTTGGGAAGAATCGAAGCAGATTATATTGCCCAAATGACCAAACTTCGGCTTGAGCTACGCGAAGCAGAACTGACTGAGGAGCGGTTGCGCGAAGATCGTAACATTTGGAGGCAAGCAGCTGAACAACAGGAATTTGACCAGGAAGGTGATGGAGAAGACGAGAACGAGGATGGAGAAGAAGTATCGCCGTCTGAATCTCCTACCAACCTTGGCCCTGGTGCACCTGGCGGCGGTGATGGAAACGATGATCCAAGGCCTAAAGGACGAAAACGTCACGGCGGTGATCCTGGTCCTGCTCCTCCTGATGATCCTGACGATGAAGGCGATCATGAAGTTACATCAGTCAAGATATCGAGGAGAGAAGCAGATAAGGTTGTGGTTCCACCTTTTCCAAAAGTGACACACCTTGACAGTTGGACGGCCCACTGTTCCGCGAACGTTCTCAGCGCCTGTGCAGATCCGAATCATGAACAGTGGATAGGCTGGCTTCAACCAGCGTTCCGGCCAAATCCTGACATTGATGGATTGAACGACTCAGGACACATCAAGTTCAAGAGCATTGACGTGAAGCTTGGCGTGGCCATGACAGCCATGATCAAGACTGGCGGAGACAACTCTCAGGACCTCTACTTGAACGTCAGTCGCAAGGCCAACAAACTCATGCGTGATCAGTCGAAGATGATCAAAGGAAGACAGATCATTGCTATGATGTATGAAAGTTTCAGGACTCGTGATCGACTGGACATGATCGTGTCGCTTGAACATCTCATCAAATTGCAATGGCAAGGCGATCAGAAAATGAATACGTGCAAGCAGAAATGGTTGGAAATCATTGATCGAATGCGACCAGAAGACCTTCCGTCCGAGACCGCATTGAGAGACACACTCTATTCCAAGATTAAAGACTCTCCAGCATTGAAGAACGAGCTCTGCGTACACTACGATATGCTGAACTATGATGACCCTCAACGGTCGTATGACAAGTTACTCCACATCATGGACAGATGTATTCAGAGGAGTCGAGAACAGAAGCACCAGCAACAGATCAACTCCGGTCTCAACCATCAGGGGCAAGGACGCAATGTCAGCTATGGCAGCGAAAGCCAAAGGAGGTGGTAAGGGCAACGGTACTCCATCCGACAAGAAGGGCAATAAGACGGACAATGAAAACGCTGCCCCAGTTCTTCCACAGAGCAAGGCCAAAGCACACGCTAAAGCCAAAAGCAACAAGGACAAGAACAAGGAAAATGCCAAGCAACGGGAGAGATCTGAACCAACGGATGGAAAGCCAAACGTGAAGCATGTCAGATGCAAATTCTTCTTCTCCGAGCACGGTGAATGCAAGAACGGAGACAGATGCCCATTCAGCCACTCGAAGAACACTCCCGAACGTGGACGAGGCAACACCCCCAATCGGAGGAGAACGTCGTCAAGAAGTCCATCGTCCGGAAGCCAAGGCTGAGGCTACAGGGAAAGCAAAAGCAAAGGGCAAACCGCAACCTGCAGCTCCAGCGATCCGAATGTGCAGAGCTTGGAATCCTCTTGCTCCGGCTGCGCGGAAGAAAGCATACGTCGAAGACGATGAAGGGTCAGAGTGTTCATCCGTTGACAGCGATATCGACTCGGATTGTTCTACTGATGATGAAGCGGTCGGAGCGACTTTGTCGGCCAAACCGCAGGAGAACAAGCGAGTGTCCTTCGCCAAAGATGTGATGTTTCAATCATGGCGACCGAGAAGACCGTACAAGGAGCGCGGTGAAGAAATAATCAAGGTGAACACAAGTGAACTCATCGATAGCGAGAACAGGACGAACGAGCTCGGGTTTGCAACGCACAATTAAAGCTCGTCTGAAAGCGCAGTTTATGATCGACATGGTTGCGGATGACAAGCCTCGCGATCGACACATGTACATTCGTGTTCCAGGCACAGACAAAGTCAAGCAGATCGTGTTCTTCGATGGTGAAGATGAGATTATAGAGATGAATGTCAACTCCAAGAAAAGTCAAGGGATAAAAGTCTTCGAGACAGTCACATGTATGGTTCAACCTACGTGGGTAAGATCGAAGATCGGCGCGGACATGATCTCATATCTCAGGGCAAAGTCGAGAGAGATGGTCTGGCAACCCTTGTCAGTCAGGAGAACGGCGTATCATTCCAGACAGCAAATGGCATTACCGCAACGGACTTGATATCCAACTTCAGGACGAAATCGTTCGCTGAGACGATCAACGCATATGTTCTCGAAGACACACCGTCAGTTCTTTCGGCGGGAAAGCGACGCGTGCAACAGGGATATGGATTTGTGGGGCCACCTGGCAAGGATCCGTTTATGATCAACCCGGATGGGAAGCGAATCTCTCTGTTTGTCCACGGCGACATTCCTTATGTCGCGCAGGAAGTCAGAGCCGGGCCACGTGAAGATGAGGTTGCAACCAGCATCAAAGCCATATTCTACAGCATCGGTGAGGATGGAGCATTGTCCAACGTGACAGCGGACGCCGCCATTGCGACGGCAACACCAGGAGAAGATGCGGAAAGTCCACATGACAATGAAGCTGAAGGACCTCCTGATGATGAAATATCAGCAGATGAAGCACCTGGTGGGGAAGTACCGTTGGCAGAAGCAGGAAGGCCTCCAGAACCACCTGACGGAAGACGAGAAACTGATGTAGAGGACGAAAGGGAAATTGAAGTCGAAGGAGAAGGAGCACGCATTCGCTAAGCGATTGGTGCTCTGAAAGCAGAGGCAAAGACCCTTGCACACCTTTGCACTCGTCGGTGTCGGAACCCGTATTGTGAAGCATGTATCAGAGCGTAGATGAAACACTTCCGAACAGAACGTGGAGCCTTCAAGAGAGAACTGAAGTCATGGGGCGATTTGATCACCTTCGACTTCATCGCCACGCGCAAAGCCGCTGACATGGGCGTGGGCAACGACGATGAACATCGAGAAATTCTGGTCGCACGCGATGTGGCAACTAAGGTTATCGCGGCGATTCCTACAGAAAATCGATGTACAGAAGACGTCGCGCATGCTCTGAGGAGATTGATTGGAAGACGAATGGTGAAGCTCGCCTACAGCGATGCTGCTCCCGAGTTCGACGGCACAACTTCGAATTCCAATTGACCATTCATTGCCCGGTCATCCGATGAACAATTCTCTCGCGATTCAGCGTGGAAACGGATGACAGGTGAAGATTTCAAAGGGAAAGCCATACCGTTCGGTGTGAAAGTGTTCTTCAAGCCCACAAGCACAAGAGAGAAGACTCACGCCGGAAATTCGATCCGAAAGGGACTCCGGGAATCTTCGCAGGATATGTGATCACCGCTGGACAGCAATGGTCAAGGAAGTATAAAGTTTGGGACATGGCGGAATTTGCCCACGTGAACTTGTCCATGAATGTGGCAGTGCCACCCAAGCTTCTTCTGAGGGTACTTCCTGAGAAGCTCGAGTTTCCATTGAAGAATGAGTACGAGCGGATGAACGCTACGCTTGAGGGCTGAAGAACAACATCGATTTGCAAGGCAAAGAGATCAAGGATCTCGACCCCGGCGATCGACCACCTGACGGAGATCACGGTGATGATGATGACGACGACGGCGATCCAAAACCCAGACCTCCTCCAGAACCAGGAGAAGCGGATGATGGAGCTGGAATCGGAGGCTATCCATTGGATTATCGCGAGGCTATTGATGCGATTGGTGAAAAGATTCTCGTCGAAGCAGCTGAGCGGGGAGAATCACATGGAAGTGCACCAACATCGTCTGTGTTGCCAAAGACGGGGGAACCACGGTTATTTGATGAAGTGGGACCTTCTGGCAGGCTTATATTCCTAAAGCGGATGAGGAGATCCAGGAGAAATCCTACGTTGCCTAAAAGATGCAATTCTTGTGGGAGAAGAAATCGGCATTGGCATGTTGGCATCAAAGGGGGCGGCAAGATCTACCTCAATGACGATGGTGAAGCACGCAAGATAGACAGACGTGGTGTGACCTACAAGGCTGGAAGCGACGGTCGGCGTATCGTTCCTACTCGACGACCCAAACATCTGTATTCACCAGAAGAATGGGACACTCTGGGTACCAAGGCCAGGGACAAAGCTTACAAGAAAGCTAAAAGAGAAAAGGCTAAGGCATCCAAGAAGGAAAAGAAGAGAGCCGCCGTGGGCAAGAAACTTGTGGACAAGATGCTGGACAAGATGAACTTTCCCAAGATCGTGCAATGCAACAAAATCGATCTTGAACTAGGCGGGTCATGTACTGAAGGGTGGGAATGGGCTGAGGAATTGGTCCAACAACAACTTCAGGATGAGTATCTCGATGATGTCATCGTGGCAGTCCCGGCTTGTTCGGTGTTCAATGAAGACTGGATACCCGCTATGCCATGTACTACGTCAACCCCACAACAACAACAACAACAACAACAACAAACATCGTGTCAAGAACCCGGAACACAAATCGTGCTTCAACGCTATGGTCACTCGTCCAGTCACACGGAAAGAGATGGTCTCCAATCCCAAGGCCATGGAAGCGTTCATGACCGAATGGAAGGGACTGTGGGATCAGGAAATCTTCGATTTCTCTCAAACCCGCACATGGCTCGCGCGCACGGACTCATCTACGAGAAGAACTACCAGTTGAAAGAAGATGATCCGGCCAGGAAATTCAAAGGACGAGGCGTTCTGCTTGGCGATCAAGTCAAGGATCAGAACATGGAGGCCGCGCTCTTTCAAGACCTTGGCAATTCTCCGGCTACCTTTGATGCGTCAAGGTGGGCCGATTATTATGGTTGTCTACCAGGGAACGATGTTCAGATGGCGGAGGCTATCCAGGCATATATCCAGGCTAAGCTCTCCGGCACTCCATGTTGGGTTGAACTACCTGAGGAAGCTTGGCAGCCATCAGCGAACCATCGGAAGTTCCGACGGCCAGTATGCAGATTGGTCAAAGCACTATATGGACATCCTGACGCAGGAACTATGTGGGAACAACACTGCCACACCGCAATACAAAAAGGTCGGGTTCAAGGCCCCTTGGGGATGAATGGCCTTCGTTGTATTTCCATCCGGAAAAGAAACTGCTCTTGGTGATCTATGTCGATGATCTGAAGATGGCTGGACCCAAGGATCAACTACCATCTGGTTGGGAAATGCTACGTAAGGAACTTCGTCTGGAAGCAGAAACACCATTGGGCTTGTATTTGGGCTGCCGTATCTCCAAAGGCGAAGCCGTCTTGCACGACAAGACACGTGTGCAGACTACCTTTGACCTGGAAACGTACCTCGACATGACGGTCAAGAAGTACCGTGACGTCACTGGGTTCAATCCAAACAAATTCAAAACGGTTCCATCGCCGAGTCCTGCGGAAGAAACAAAGAATCATCCAGCAAGGGCGCCGGTATGCAACGGCAAAAGTCATCGATGCACGTGGTGTGGACACACCATGCCTGTTGACACGGATGGCCGGCTGGTACCGCCTCCACCTGTTCCCAAAGGCCTAGCGGAGGAGGAAGTCACAGAGGCTAATCGAGGCGCCTTGGCACCTCAAGCGGCGAGCATACTAATGAAGTTGCTGTACGCCGCACGAATTTGTCGGTTTGACCTCTTGCGCAGCATCAACAATTTGGCTCGCAAGATCACCAAGTGGACCAAGAAGGAGGACGCCTTATTGCACCATCTCATGGCGTATGTGCACCCAGTCCAAACATCACATGATGATTGGTTGGGTGGGGGACTCCATGGAGACCTCGTCCATAGGGCTGTTTGCGGATGCGGACTATGCTGGTTGCGGTGAAAGCTTGAAGTATACCTCCGGTGCTCACTTGCGCGTTCAAGGTCCGCATACACGTTTTCCTCTTGCGGGGCTAAGCAAAAGGCAAGGGTGCCTTAGTCACTCAACACCTGAGGCTGAGATTGTTGCGGACGACTTTGCTATGACTCGTTTGGGACTTCCTGCCATAACACTCTGGCAGCAACTTGGTGGCAAAGACCCCAACTTCGTCTTTTATGACGATAATCAGACCATGATCGGAGTTATCCGCGCTGGAAAGAATCCAACAATGCGTCACCTCCAACGGACGCACGGCATCTGTATTGGCTGGGTGCGTGCCATCTTTCAGGAAGGGTATGTGTCATTGGCCTACGAGGTTACCGCCAAAATGGCTGCGGACATCCACACGAAATCCTTTAAGGGCGCAGTTTCCTGGACACACGCGTGCCAGTTGATCAACATCTTTCCGCCAACCGTGATTGATTGGATCCCAGGATATCATGGATCTCATGAAGCCTACTCATTCCCAGAGTACGGATGAGAAGACTCCCATATTGCCGCAGGTGCTTCATCGCGCGGGTCTTTCGAGCAAGGAAGCGTTGCAAGAGCATGACAGCGTTGACCCCATCTTGCTTGTCAAGTTTCCGCGCGTGTTGCGGGATCCGCCGTCGGCGTTGCCGCCGGGTTGTTACCTTCGGTCGACCTGGATTCTTCGCGAGGGCGTGTGGCATCAGGTGGAGGACCGCGCTCCTGTTCCCGATTCGCCAGTCAAGTTCGATCGCTATGTGGAGCGTGCTGTGTTTCAGTACCATCCCTTCGGCAAACTCTGCCGTCGGCACCGGCGATTGAGTCTGACATGCGGTGTGAGATCGAGTGTCCGAACGGCCGCAGATTTGTGCGCGCCCTGACGCCTGAACGGCGGGCGGTGGCCGCCGCGCTTGCTCGCGCCGTCCATGGGGTGTACCAGGGTTTCACATGACCAGGGTTAACGACGAGCGGCTCAAGCCTTCTTGGCGAGCCAGACCTGCGCCTAAGAGGTGTCTTACCTCTTTGGGATGGGGCACCCATTCCCGTGAGCTACCCAGGTGGTGGCAAGGAGGGTTCACCGCTCCTCAGGAAGGGCAGCCCACTTCCTATGTTGAGCGGTCTTGAGAGGGGTGCACGGCCTCTCACCACTCAACATGTTTGCAGTTTGCCTTTGGCAAAGGGGAGCCAAGGGCACAAACAGGGTGCCTATTCCCGCCGGACCGCCTCTTTTTGCAAAGCTGGAGAAACAGCCCTACGAAGCAGAGGAAAAAGCACTTGCCTCCCTACCTTGGAGAATACATCCTCCTTCCAGGCTGGAAAGAGGGGAAAACCTCCTCTTGCGGATGGGATGCGCCCAATCCGGCTGGTCTAAGCCTCCAAGTGTGAAGGGCTCACCAATTCGCAGGACTTGAGATGCCCTGGGCCACCAAATGGTGATGAAAGCCCTGGCATTCCTTGATCAACAGCCGTGCCAGTCGGCGCTTGCCTGGCACCGAGGGTTGTCACGGATGGCTGATTTCAACCAACCACCCCCGGCCGGGCAACGTTAGGTAAGAATTGGTAATAGCCAGCCCAATGGGTCCCGGTTTGGCTGGGAGCGACCAATTCCCAGCTCCCCAAATCGAAAAGGAGGCATTTAGGCCATGCCTGGTCCAGGTATTCAACACCTATGTTTGTCGATCCTGTATATATCGCGCAGGATGATCACTGCCACATAGACGAAGAACTGAAAGGCCGTGCTGCTGCCAGCACCGACCGATTCCAACCAGGTTTCCGCGATCTCAACCTTTTGCTGGATGAGACACTGCATGGTTGTCTCCTCACCCTACAAGCTTTCATCTGCGTTTGCCCAGCGGACCCGCGCAGGGCCCTCCC